TGGGTGATAGACACTGGGGAGGGTATGTGCTCTGGTAAGTGCTGTGAATTTTGCAAGACTTTTGAATCTCAGATCTGTACCTCTGAAACAAATAATGCAATATATGTTAAGATCACAGGTTCTTAACATCTCCGTTTCCTCATCTGTACATGAGGATACTAACAGCCTGACGGCGCTCCTGTGAAGATTAAAGAGGCAGATCTAGCACAAGGCCCGGATCTGAAGGAAGGCCCGTGAATCAGCTACGTCCGCGTTCGGCTCTGAGTGTCAGGAGACCTAACCAATCAGGGTCATGCCACAGGAGAGCTGATGGTAGGCTCACGAGAGCGCAAGAACATCATCAAGGTGTCAAGCTCATTTACCTCCCAGCTCCAACATCTCTGGCTGTGGCTTTTGTCTTTGGGATTATGAGATGGGGGCTGTGCTGGGGACTCATCATGGTTTTTAGTTTCTGTATTTTATGAGGTTTTGAGATCTTAAAAGCTTGCTGCCCAGGGAGAGAATGCCTTTCCCAGGGCTAGCTGATTCTTAGAGAGAGCAAAGGGCGTGGCCCAGAGCCCACCTTTCATATGTAAACCAAGCAATCCTGGATGTACAGTCCCAATTCTCCTTTAACTCACACCCTAAGACAGGATTTCCCCAGGTCTAAGTCACCCAGCACCTGGGACCAGGTGGCCAGAGCCCACCCCTACAACCCAGAGCCCACCTACACTCTTCCAACTGGCCAATCTTCAACCGTTTGCCCCGCCCTGCACAGCTATTCTCTGAGACACTCCTGGTAAAGACTTTGACTTAGACTTTGTCCTCTTTCTCTTCTGTCTCCAGGCCAAACCTGGTGCTTCCTCACATGGCCCCGGAGGCAGGGAGTGGCCCTTCTTTCAAGACATGTGAGTAATAAATTCTTTGAATGGTATTGACTGTCATCACTCAGTCACCTCGATAAGTTAAAATCCGTGGCTCCAAATTTTCGAACAGCTTTCCAGGTAGGAAGATGGAGTAATAACAAGGAAAATGTTCCCAAAGATATCCTGCTCTTTTATTTCAGGAAGGGAATAAATTCAGGAAGGGAAGCCCCCCTGGCGCTCACCATCTAGGGTTCATTAGCCATAACTGGGTTATGTGGCCTCAATAAAGGAGTCAGGGAAGGCAAAGATTTTTAAACTAGGCATTTCACTGTCCTTAAAAACATCAGAATTATTATTATTATTATTTGGAAGGGAGAAGGGATATTAGGTAGGCTAGTAGCACTGTCTGCTGAATGTATTAACAATGTTTAAAGGAGATTAAACTTTTTCATGTCGCTCTTTATATTCACTATCAGATTTTGTACAGCATTTTTGGATAAGATGATGTAAATCAAGGATGATATTTAAGCTTCTATGAATTAGACGAGCTAGAAGATTCTATATATGCTAAAAATTCAAACATTTTGCATTAATTTCCAATAACCCCATATTGCTACAATTAAGACACAAATGAGTATTTGAAATAAAAAGACTTATTTCCTATTTTAACAAACATGCTTTCATTGTAATTTTGAATATGATCAGCAAATAAGCAAAAAATTTTGTATCTTTACTAAGACACAAAAATCAAGCACTACTGTATAGTTATATTAAGATGCACAGAGAGCAATTAGAAATCATATCGAAAAACACCAACTTAGAAATTCCTATTCCTCATTAATCTGTTTCACTGATCAAGCCATAAATCCTTTTATTAAAGCAAAGAACTCAACCCCCAAAGGAGATCTTACCTTATAGTACCTTAGTGGAAATTCTGAATGTCATTTATTTGGCCTCTGATCAGACCACAGGTGCTAGAAGAGAATTAAGAAAATGGGGTTAACATACAGCCCTAGGAGGGGAAAAGTCAATAGGTTACACAAAAGGATTTGAGGAAATGTCAGAAAATTATAGAATTTTCTAGTGAAAGTGATCTCATAGATCATTGTGCCTAACCATCTCATATAACAGATGAGGATACACGTGGTCAGAGAATGAAGGTCCCTGTCATTGGCAAAAGAAACGCATCTATTGACTTTCTACGAAAGGTTCTTTGTATATAGTTCCACTCCTCACACCCACCAAAGCTCCGGTCACAGTGAAGGGACATAAAACGAGAAGAGATAACAATAGAAGTTGCCTGTTCCTTCATTTCATATGTTGGTGATGGTATCCTTGTTTTTTCAGCCAGTGGGTTAGTACTATCTATGCCCTTAGAAGCTCGGGTCTGGTACCTTCTCCAAATGCTACAGGGACAAACACACACACACACACACACACTCTCTCTCTCTCTCTCACACATGGCCAGCCCTGCTTAGCCCACTTCTCACACAGGGTTAGAGTCATATCTTAAAGAAAATCCTCCAAGCCCATTTCGGACACTGGCATTCACATTTTTAAAGTGTACAGAGTCTGAGAGTTAGGCCAGAACCTTAGGAAAGCTTTTAGAAGGTTGACTAGAGGACGAAAAAGAGGCACCAAGTTCCATGAGCAGAGAACGAAGGAAGTGTGTTCGTGTCAAGGACATCCCTGGGGACGCAAGCTCAGGAGGGACTAATAAGGGCAATGGGAGAACTTGTTGGGGATGGGGACTGACAAGATGTTGAGATGTTGCTGGATTTTTAAAAGAAGGACCTTGTAGTTTCTTGGGGAGGTGAAGGTGAGGTCAGACGATAGGAAGGAAGAGGCCATGAGGTGAGAGGTTGAGGGTTCCCAGGGTGCGGGTGACCAGAGGGGCTCAGGGCAGCCTCTGAGAGTGGGGTCTACAAGATAAGCCTAGAGATGGAAAGAAACGTTTCATTCATAATAAGAAACAGATTTGTGTTTTGCATGTCTCTCTTTTTTAAAGTATCCATCTACAAAGGATTGGGAAAAAGGGAAAGAAAGAGAAGTCACTGGTCCTGCATCAGTTTGAAAAGTATTATCCTAGAGAACATCCTTTTCTATATACCAGCATCTCCTCAGGAAATAACATACGAGCAACTGAAACATCAAGAGAATATGCAGCAATATTGACATCCCTGTTCTTATTAGAGGAAGTGGTGGGAAAGTCACCAAATAACACACTTCAGGTCTACGGCCATACCACCCTGAACGTGCCCGATCTCGTCATAACACACTTCAGTGGGAGGATACAGACATTTTGGTCTCTGGTCTCTAACACACAGAGGTTTTCAGCCATGTGGGTCATGCCAGTAAGCCTAGACTTTCGCCGTTGATTCCTTCTAGAATCTAACGAGTCCAAGGGCGAGTGGATCCCATGGAGGCACGTGTCACTCCTCTTACTGTAACCTACTAAGTGTCATGCACATAGTAGTTGCTCAATAAGTATTTGTTATATGGATTTTATCATTAAAATTGACCGTTATCCAGAACACATCTACCTAATTTACAAGGAGAAGTCCCAACATGCCTACATATTGGGATTCAGATCATTTTAATAAGTAAATACATATCTCTCAATAAAATAAAATGAAGCCACACAAGTAATGATAACATAAACACTACTCAGTCATTAAAGTGTCTGTTAATAAAAATATCTCGTTCACTATATGAACTGGAGAACAACTGAGATCGAATACCTTGAAGTATTTCTAAGTTTCTCTAGCGTTAGACTTGGGAAAGCATTTATTTTGAAAACCAGTGAGAGAACTGGCTTTCATCCTAACTTCAAATGACTTCTATTGCAAATTAACTGCACATGACATTCATTTAGGGGTGAGCTTCAAATCTCTGAGTATAGATGACAGACCCTACAAAATCCCAGCAAACATGGTTCAAAGGGTTATATAATGAAAATATGACTGGTGATTCCAGAGATTGTTATCATAATCCTGCAGTTAGCCAAATCAAGAGGAACACGAAGCCTGAGACAGAATAATAATTAGGGAGGGGCAGATAAGATGCCTCATTCAATAGACCAACACAATATTACTTTAAGGATGTATATAGAGAAAGTAGGTGTTTTTGTTAATGTCCTTAAATAGTTTCTTTCTGTACATCATTGGGTATTTACAGACGTAATGAAGTAGCAATGAGGTGACAGGTCTGGACTTTTAGTATAGCCATCTGAGCAGTCCCATTTCCTTCAGTCTTTTCCAAAAAGTCATTATTTGCCTACTTTCTAATTATTGTGAGCATGCATATTGCTTTTATCTCCTGGAAGACACAGACCGCTTGAGCAGATGTTTTGCAATCCAAATGAATGATAGCTCAATCCACAGCCATCTGATTTAGACAGCATCATACCTGCTCACAGCTCCGAAATAAATAAGCTTAATTAACTAATTTAATTTCTTGCATTCAGCTGAAATCAGATCCCAGTCTCTTAAGATACAGAATATTCCTTTTTAATTTCACAATATAGCTTTAGTTTTTAACTTGCCTTATCTGAAAACCAAAATAACAAGTGTTTTACAAAGTTGTGCCTGACAGCCTGTTTTATGGGAATAGGATAAATACGGTTCTAAAAATGTATATATTATGCTAAGTCTGGTTTGCATTAAGTTCTTATTTAAAAGCAGGATTCACTAAGTATCTGTGCTCACTCAGACGTCATGTTACACGCTAACTAGTTCCCACCAAGTCCTTTTCTCATTTTTCAAGCCATCCCATCCAGAAAGGAAAGACAGAGGTAATTTTTTAAAAAGATTTTTTAAAAAGATTTAGCTACCTGAGAGAGAGAGCGAGGGAGCACGTGAGTGGGGGGTAGAGGCAGAGGGAGAGAATCTTCAAGCCAACTCCCCACTGAGCATGGAACCCACGCAGAGCTCAATTCCACAACCCACAAGATCACAACCTGAGCTGAACCCGAGTCAGACGCTTAACCGACTGAGCCACCCAGAGATAATTAAAACATGAAATTGTTCTTATGAATGAAATTATGCATTCCTCTGCTATAATCCCCAATTTGCAGATGAGGCTCAGGAATCAAGTTAACACTCTCAGAGTTGTCCAGTGAGTGATGGGTAAAGCCGCCGGCCAAGCTTGGACCCTCTCCATTTCCAATCGCACTGCAAGCCCTTTGTATACACGCAGTCATGTCATCATCACAGCCCTATCTGTTGTTGTCTATGTTTTATAGATAAAGAAACAGCTCCATGTTCGCTCTGTGTAGGGGAACCACAGCTCTATGGAGATCCTTGAGACAAAATTTGGTACTGCTTCATCTTTTTCCATTCACTCTTTCCCTTCTCTGTCCATTCCTTATTTTACTTTATCCAAGACGTAAAATTAACACAACTCCTGGTTTGAATGGGCCGAGGTACAATAGGTCCAGCAATATCTACATTTTTGAGACATTGCTTTGCCTATTTTGATAGGCAACGGACCTTGGTCAGAACAGCACAGGGAGAGTTCTTAGTGGACCCTGAGTGCTCTATGGTAGACAGGCTCTATCCGGGTATTCCTGAGAACGTAACACTCTGGAAGGGAAGTGACAGTAATCGGGAATGGCATTCTTCAGGGGTTTGCTGTCTAGGAATTCTACCACACTGCGGTGTCTAAGGAGCCACTGAGAAATCAGGATGATGTCCAGTAGGCCAGGGTGACGGAGAACACAATTTCAGAAGTCTTCAAGGCAGGCTCCATACTTTTCATCAGGATGGTGGCAGACTCAGTGGCTCCAGTGAGCTGACAGGACCTCAGCCAGCGTCTGGGAACATGGGCAAGTTTAATAACCTGGAGTGAGTGCAGTGGTAAGAGTGAAGCAGATCACTGGGTAGGGGTGGGGGGCATCTATTCTAAATAAGAACGAGGAGAGCAAGCAGGGATTTGAGGAAGACGAACTGTAAATGCTGTCTCACCAGGACGTCCCCTAGACCTCTCAGAGGTTACACGAATCCCAGAAGCCACCAAGTAGAGGGGATGAATGTGCTTATTCACTGCACAGCAGCTGGGCAGGGCTGAGTCTTACTGGCTGGCAGTTTTCAATTCTTACTGCGCCGGGAGCCTGAGGTCAGCAAGAGTCGCTACTGAGATTCTTATAAAGTCTCATTACGCCAAGAGTTCTAGAAATTCGAGGCAGTATCAATAGACAATTAAATGAAGAGAAAATTATTGCTCTCCATTTCAGTTTTGGCAGAAAACGGGAATGGGAGAAGAAAACTTTACCCTATCCGTGGAAAAGGACCGCTTCTCAATCCAATTTCCACAAACCTAATCTCATACTGTGGAGATAAAAGTTGGAGGCTAGATTCGACTAGATGTAGAAAACAGTATGAAGAGTGTTATCCAAAGTTTGTAATTTCACATTTCTCTGTACACAGAAAAGTAACAAAAAGGAGTTTCTTTAATAATTTTAACACTGTTGGCTGACTCTTTCTGTAAGTAGATGTGATTCTTGTGTGCCTTAATTTTTTCTTATAAATTAGAAGGAAAAGTCTTTACTATCAACTAACTAGTATTTCTACAGGGCCAGTTAAATAATAGAAACTGATGTTTACTAGAATTTAACACATGTAACCAGTTCTTTCAGCATTAGCTGTTTTAAAAAGCAAAAGAAAACTTCTAAAAAGGCATAGTTTTAAATGTCACTTTTGAGAAGGATATATGTACATACTTCACATATTATAAATATAAAGACATTTTAACAGTTTAATGAAATAATTCATGGCCTTCTAAAATCAGACTCTATAGATTATGCCTGCTGACTGGAGTAGGCAGTTAAATGTCAGTTCAATTTGTTTCTTTTACTAAAAGACACAAGAAAAACTTACAAGGGAGAAACTTAGTGTAACATAAAATATACACAAAGTTAGTATCCCATAGTATCCTATGCTTGTTTTTCTCCCTGTCACAGACTGAATTTTGTCCC